GGGGGGGGGGGGGGGGGGGGGGGAGCTACGGGTTTGTGCGTGAAGGCAAAGGCCTCTTTTCCATGTGGTGCTGTGTGCTGTCTCAGAACTTTTGTTGGGCATCTTACAAACTGCTCCTCCCCCCCACTCTCAAGTCTCAACTATTGTCAGCTTTATTGTAATGCATGTCGTAATGCCTCTCGCTTACAACATTAATTGTCCAATTATTTATTTAAAGAACCATCATGACTGTGTTTTGCAGAATCAAGAACCTCCTGATGGCAAATATTGCCGCATTCGGAGTTGGAAACCTCTAGGTACATTTACTGTTTGCATTAATAATAAGACATTGATAACATACGCCACAAATTAAAAACCCAGACGTCAAATGTTCTCGCGTGCAGACCACACTTTTCGAACCAAACTTTACTTTTCATAACAGAGCTATTGTCGCGTCGGAGGAAGATAGCATGTAGCTAAAGCACAGTAATTCATAAACTTTACCAACATTTTCAAATTTTGTATTTAACAAATAAATTCCGTGTTGCTTTACCTCTGTTTAGTAATGGGTCACGGATGACGTCACACTACAGACGGATCACACATTGGGTTCGTGGTTAGTTGTTGTTTAGATAAGGCGAACAAACTCCTTGAGGGTTAAGAGTAAACCACTTAAAATTGCACATCTAAACTTTATCTCGGTCTGAATATCTCAATAAAGTTAAATGAAATGTTAATCGACTCTTTAGGCCGTTTGAAGCGCCTCTTTACAAAATTACTTTCGGTTCATTCCGGTTGACTTCTGCGCTCAAAGTAGAGCACACGGTCCGCTACGCCAGCGGAAGAAGAGAAGAACGTAAATTGTCTTTGTGTACGTGAAATTAATAAACACTCCTTGTAACTAATCGGTAGGGCAATTTATAGACCAGAAGATGATACCGAGATTTTTTCCAGTACACCTTCCGGTGCTCCTAGGACTTTGGAAGTGAAAGAAAAAGGGATGTGATGGCTTTTTACGCAGCTTTTACGCTGTTTTCAGGTTCCCGCGCGGGGTGAATCGATTGCAAGCTAGTTTGTTCGTAAAGATGGACTTTGAACAAGATGGGTGCAGCAGTTTCATCTACTTAAAAATAGTTGGGCTTAGAGGACAATAAAAAGGAACAACAGCAAACTCTAGGAGCAATTGGTTTAGATTCCAGAGAAGTTCTCCTGCTTCTTCTCCTGATGCAAAAGCTGATGATTGTACAGGTGACTGGATTTGAGCCGGGATGACCACAAAACAAAGAAAAACAGCAATGTTTTGAAACTCTCATAAAAACACCCATTTATTTGCCCCTAACATACGACATACCTTAGACAACTTTCCTAACTTTTCCGTGATCTACTTAATAACAAAAACATGCCAAATAAGTTTATTTTGACGCTGCTTTGATATTTTCCTGTTATTTTAATGTACTTTAAAATTAACGTATGTATGTAAAATTATTGTGCTTTAATGTATGGGATATATTACTCTGGAAGCCAACACATGGACATCAGCCGAGAGGGCGCCCAAAAAGACCTACATTGACCAATTGATGGATGACACAGGATGCAGAATTGAAAAAGGACCAATTGCAATGGAATACAGAGAAAGATGGAGGGAGCGTGTCATGGAATAACGACCAAGCTCGACCTGATGATGATGATGATGATGATGATGATAATGATGATGATGATAATGTTATTATTTCAAGTGAGAATAAAACCATTTAACAGTTATTATACTATTTACTTGTTCCAAAATAACTTTAGGAAGCAAAAATAAAAATTGTTATTTGATGTATTATGTTTTGCTAATTTTTGAAACTATCACTTGCTGTTCAGTTGTTCAGTACAGTTTCAACTAAGCTAACCAGTTATTTGCCACAAATACGGAGGCAGTTTAGAAGTAAGT